ACAAGGGTCGTTAACCCATTTATGCCTGAGGTTGAAATTATTGAATGTTTTGCATGACTTTCTGCAGCAGTGACTAACTCTGTGCACCATGTGATAACATGTACCCTCAAGAGGTAGACATGTGTGAAAAATCAGACCTTGGTGATGACCTTGAGCAGTAAGATATAAATAACTCCCACAGCACTACCATTCCAATAATGGAACGTGAGGCATAAGTGAGTTAAAATTGGAGGTGGGAGGTGGGAGAATCAGATCAGAGGAGACTTGAGGATGGGAACAGAGGTTAGAGTGATGCAGCGTGAGAAGGACTCAATCCACCCTTGCTGGCTTTGAAAACAGAAGGGTGTCACAAGCCAAGGAATGCTGGGAGCCTCCAAAATCTGGAAAAAGCAAAGAAAGGGAAAGGGATTTCCCCCTCAAGCTGCCAGGAGGAATGCAGCCCTGCAGACAGTTTGATTTTAGCCCAGTAAAACCCCATCAGAATTGTGACCTACCAAACTGTGAAATAAGAAATTTAGGCTCAGTGCCTGTAGCTCAGTGGCTAGGGCGCCAGCCACATACACTGGGGCTGCTGGGTTCAAACCTGACCCAGGCCTGTCAAACAACAATGACAACTACAACAACAACAACAAAAATAGCCGGGCGTTGTGGGTGCCTGTTGTCCCAGCTACTTGGGAGGCCGAGGCAGGAGAATCGTTTAAGCCCAAGAGTTTGAGGTTGCTATGAGTTGTGATGCCACAGCACTCTACCAGGGCAACATACTGAAACTCTATCTTGAAAGAAAAAAAAAAAGAAAAGAAATATATGTTGTTTCAAGTCCCTCCATTTGTGGCACTTTGCTGCAGTAGCAATAAGGAACTAATACAGTCAAGAGCCCTGTCTTTGGAGTCAAACGGCCCTAGGTTCAAATCAGAGCTCTTCTGTTTACTGGCTGTGCGATCCTGGGCAAAGTTCCTTGTAGCCTTTGAGCCTCATTTGCCTTGTTTATTTATTTATTTATTTATTTTTTTGAGACGGAGCCTCAAGCTATCCCCCTGGGTAGAGTGCCATGGCATCACAGCTCACAGCAACCTCCAACTCCTGGGCTCAAGCGAGTCTCCTGCCTCAGCCTCCCAAGTAGCTGGGACTACAGGCACCCACCACAACACCTGGCCATTTTTTGGTTACAGCCATCATTGTTGTATCCGAATCCCCGGGCTGGGGATTCGAACCTGCCACCTTAGGTGTACGTGGCTGGCGCCTTAGCCGCTTGAGCCACAGGCGCCGAGCCATTTGCCTTGTTTATTAAAAACCAAGGAGAATCCCTGCCACATTTGGTTGACATGAGGATTAAAACAAGTTATTTGGTGATGACACAGGCCTGTAGCCCCAACTACTTGAGAGGCTGAAGTAGGAGGACTGCTTGAGCTCAGGAGTGCAGGCTGCAGTGCACAGTCATGGCACCTGTGAATAGCCACTATACTCCAGTCTGGACAACGCAGTGAGACTCTGTCTCTGGAAAAAAATGAAAGATAAAGCCAGAAGGAATTTGGGAGGTGCTCAGCACAGTACCTAGTTCCTTTGGAAAGTGCTCAGCACAGTACCTGGTTCCAAGTACACGCTCAGGAAATGGTAATGATCGCTCTTGGTACTTAGTTGCTCCAAGCTCTTCTCTGACCCCACAAGGGCCTTGGTGCCAAGCACTTTGCTGAATTCTCTGCTGTCCCTTCTCTTGGTTGTTGAAGCTTCCTGCAGAGCCTCCTTAACTCAATTCTGGCCGCCTTTGAACCTGCAACAATGCATCATTGCCAGGTGCTCAGGTGACCTTTGCATTGCCTCCTTGGATGTCATTGTGTGCTAAAGTGGAAGACCAGGATGGCCTTCAAGACACATGTCATTAAAAGTCTCTTCAGTCAAGCTGCAGATGGCTAATTATAGGCACCTCTTATATTTGTCAAAGCCCTTGGGGAACTTCTAAGGCCTCTACCCTGACTAGCATCAAATCAGTAGAGTAATTTGTATAACCTCCAATTCCCTATGGAGAATAAGGTGGTGCTTCCTAATGGAGTCTCACCACGGTGTCCTGCTCAGCCTCTGCCTCATCTTGGGTGGATCAGATGGTGGGCAGGACTTTCTAGCCTGAGGATTGGTGCCGCATCACCATCAACTTTATTTTTATCATCACCACCACTAGCACCATCACTATTGCACCCACACTAACACTTCAAGGACCTACTGAATGCCAGGCACTTGCTGGTCCTCATCTCCTTTGATTCGCAGAGGAGTCCATTGGGCAGCAAGGCATGTGATTATCAAGGTCACGTAGCCATAAAGGGGCAGCATGGGGACTTGACCTCCATAGTCTGGCTAAGAGCCTCTGCTGTCAACCTCTATCCCACACTGTCCCTGTTGTGCCACATGCTAGAGGCCTTACATGGTGCCACCAGCTCAGGGAAGACTTTGGAGTCCTCTCTATGCTGATTGCTAGGCTGCCTATATCTCTGTGAGACTAGGGGTTCTTGAAGGCCTCGGGGTCTTGGACCCTTTTGTCCTCACAGCAGCCTCTAGAGATGCCTGGAGCAGAAGCTTCTGTTGGGGGCACAACAGGGATATCCAGAGCTCAGTCCAGCATTCTGGGGCTGCCATCCCTGTGGGGATCTATGGTGCTTCGTACCTGCCATTGCTGGGGAGTGGGGGGAAAATGAATATAAGTGGCAGGCCTAATCCAGAGTAGGCCGGGACAGTCTATCTTTCCAGGATGAGAGGAGCCCCAGGGGGTGGGAGCACCCCACAGGGCTCAGGCATTTTCACCTCTGGTCAGTGGCTGCTCCTAAGATTCTGCCACTCTAGGCTGAAGGGCTAAAACCTGAGAGGAGAGGCCTGGGGCTGTTCTTGAGGCTGAGTTTCTATTACAAAACTGCTTCCACTTAGTTGTAGGTTTACTTGCAGAAGTTGAGTGAGTGGAGATTATGGGGCCTCTGTTTGATGTACCTACTACCTGCAGTCCTTATTTAGGTTAACAACAAGATCCCAGTGACAACAAAGAACACAACGTGGGCTATTTTTTCCCTTACCAGGTGAGCACATGGGCTCATCCAATTTGAGCAAAACTGAAGTAAGCTTCACGCTTCATTCTGCTTCAGGAAGGAAAAAGGGTCCCTGCTCCAGGTGAGGTGTGGGACCTGCTGCCAGCAAAGGGGCTGAGCTGCCTGGCACAGCCTGCTGGTCCCTGGAAGTGCTGGGGGAGGGAGGAACACAGTGCCGTCAGTGGTTCCAGGAGGTGCAGACAGTGATGCTATAGGCCGTCTGTTTGTGCATGTCCCATTAGGCTGGACTGCCCAGTAGAGAAGGCCACAGGTGCTCCCTCTGGTAGGGTGTGTCCTGGGGGGGGCGGGTAGACACTGCTCACTTAACTCTGTACTCACCCTCTAGTCCTTACATATGGCATCAAGGAAGCCATCCACACCTCTACAACTTAGAAACAGCACCAGAGTCTAAATGCAAACTGTTGAACTATTAAAAGTTGGAGCCATTTGCCTATGACTTAAGGCTTACAAGAAGCAACTGACACAGGAGACAGTTGTTTTGTTGTTGTTGTTGATGTTTTCCAGGAGACAATTTTTAAAAGGCCCACTCCATGGCAGCGTTTGTTCCCCAGAATGCACTGAAGTGGATTTTTCTTGGACCCTTGCAAACATGGTTTCCCAACAGGGGACCCTCTGCAGGTGGGTCCCACAGGTTCCCAGGAGGAGCTTGCAGCCCCAGTGAGCCCCAGGCATGGAGTCTGTGGGGCTACCTGGCTCCGGCACCACGTTCTGCCTGTGAGCAGCTTCCAAGGGACTACCTTGGAGGGAGGTGGCAAAAGCAAAATTGCACAGCAGCTGAAGTCAGCAGTCATGGCTTTCTCACCATTGAGCTGTCCGGTGATGGCCCATGCCATCTGTAAAATGAGGACTCTTAGCTAGGTAACCTCTGGGGATCCTTTCGGCCCCCCTGTGCTGAGAATATAAGAGGGAGGTAGTTTATTAAGTGCTCCTGAGAGCCAGAAGACCCCAAGAGGCTGGAGCCCATGTGACACCCCTGCTATGGGCCACACAGTTTAAAACATCAATGCTCAGAGGCTTCACTCCACTGCCGTGGCTCTGTGGTCTGCAGGGCGTGATCCCACTTGTCTTCACCACATGGGTGGTTCCCATCTTGCTGCACTTAGAACCATCCATGGAGCTTTGAAAAACATCTATATAGCACCTCACTTCCAGAAAGCACCATTTAATTAGTCTGAGTGGGGCCTGGGCATTGGTGTTTTTTATATACTCCCCAGGTATTTTCTCATGCACATGGCCAGGGTTGAGACCCACTGACCCAGATGTTGGCAGCTTCTGTTTGTCCTTTAATGTTTTCCTGCTGTTGTTGCCAGTGTCCACACTAAAGCACTGACCAGGGTGTGTTCTGGGTGGGGGCCTGAGTGGCCCAGGGGTCAGTATCCTGTCTCTCCTTATACCCTGCAGGTGGTCAAAGATGGCTTGACAGAGATAATGAGCATACCCCCCCCTTCCTCCTACACCCCTCCACCTCCCCCGTTTCTGAGGGCCCTGCCTTTCATTCCAGCTCTAATATCCCCCTTCCCAGGGCTGCTGGCTGACTCTGGAAAGCAGGGAGGATGCGAGGAGGGAGCAGCTCCCCCGCTGCCGCTGCCACTGCCACTGCCACTGCCGCTGCCGCTGCCGCCTCTGGCTGGCGAGCGGTTCCTCAGCAACCGCCCAGCCTGACACCAGATTGGAGTTCACATGATTCTGCCTCAGCGCAGGAATGGGCAGCCTCGGGCTGGGGATTTTCTAGCTAGAGCTGGGAGGTTGGGTCTGCGGGAAATCGCTGGAGGGAGAGCTGGGGGCCTGGTTGCCCAGCTCCTGCAGGAAGCCAGGCTGTTTGAGGTTTGCTGCAGCGGAGTCATAGAGGACTGGTGCCAGACACCCTCAGAGGACACCCTCGGCCTGATTCCCGGAACAGTGACTCCTGCCCCTACCTGGCTGCAGAGACCACACGGCCTTGCTGAGGACGGAGGCTCAGGAGAACCCAGCAGCGCAGGTGGTGGGGCTCCATCCAGCTATTTCCAAACTGCCGGTCATGTGTATGAGAAATCAATTTAGTAGTTTATGACCTGCATTTTAAAAAAACAAAATAGAATAGAAAATATCAGGGTACGTGGCAAGTAGCAGGGTAAGTATTGTTTGGGGGAAGTTGTTCCTTTTTACAGATGCATGCGTGTGTGTGCAAGTATGCGTGTTCAGGGTCGCAATGTAAAGCATGTTTCTTGCTGTGGTCAAAAAAGCTCAAAGGCAGCACGTTGGTGCCTGGATGCTGGAGTTCTGGATTCAGACCTCCCTTGCTCCCAGACTTACCCTGTGAGCTTGAACAACTGGCTTAGCCTCTCTGGGCTCCTGTAATATGGTTTAGCAATGCCAGCCCCACCTGATGCACAGGGACCTTGTGAGCCCAAATGGGACTGAACTTTGAAACAGTTGCAAGGGTGTTAGAGAGATGAGACTCTGTTGTCTGTGAGGCTGCTATTTGGGGGAAAGACGAGGACTAAGGAATAATGTAGCCTGATATCTGCCCCTCCTTAGAGGGAAATGAAACACTTTCAGGAAATAAAATAAGCTGGTTTAGAGCATGTAGAGGTTTGGCCCGCTAAAGAGATGGGAAACTGGACCCACAGGACATCCCCCAGCTCTGTGGTCTTGGGGCTCCCAGGGGCAGCCCTGGGCACTGTGAGTAACCGTCTGTGTGTGTTGTGCATGCCACATGGAAGAGCAGGCTGATGAATTAGATTACTGTCTATGTGCAGGCTGAAAGCCAGCATTTAGGCACCTCCACCTTCTGACTTAGAACGTGCAAGAGACTCCTAGCTTACGTCAAAGGGGCCTTTCCTTCCTGTTGGAGTCTTAATTTCTCTTGGTCATTAAAGTCCTTGGAGGGCTCTATGCTGATTAGCATTTGTCTAAAGATTTGCTTTTATGTGTTGAGTCAGTCTGTGTGTAGTTTTGCCTCAGTTTCTTAATTCTTAATTAAGAATTTCTTAATTCTTTTCCCTAGCACCCTCCACCCTGAGAACCCACAGACTGGGTGCATTGGGGTGAATTTTCCTCAATGGGTGTTAAAGACATGGTAAGCCTAGTGACTCTTGCAATGGCATCTGTGTGTTCTGGACCTTAGTTGAGCTCAGGGATCAAGGGTTGTTGTTTAGGGACTATTGTGATAAAGAGAGCATGGCCTCAAGGAAGGTGTGGGCCAGTCTGAGTTCAAGGACTATTGTGATAAAGAGAGAGCATGGCCTCAAGGAAGATGTGGGCCAGTCTGAGTTCAAAACCTGGCCCACCACATCCCAGCTGTGCAGTCTAGAGCAGGTTGGTTCATCTCTCTGAGCCTCAGTTTTTTCAACTGTAAAGTCAGGGCTGAGGACGGTGATGTTGAAAGAGAGAATGAATGTGTTGAAAACTGCCTGGCAAGTAGAGGGCTCTTGACAGATGTGGCTTGATTCTTCCACGCATCTGTGTTTTTCCATTTACAGAACACTTTTGCATCCACTGTGTTCTTTGATTTATTGAGGATCAAGGTTTCTATGGAGACGAGGCACAGAGGGGACACTTCTGGCAAGATGTAGTTTCCATGTGGGGACATCTCCACTGTCCCAACATCCAACATCAAAATCTCCCACCCATCTACCTATCCATCCACGCAGCCACTCACCTGTCCCCACCCTGTCTACTCATTCACTCATTTATCTATTCATCTCCCTCTTACTCATCCATCCATCCATCCAACAAACAATTCTTCAGAGCCCTTAAGGACCAGGCAGCAGGTTTGTCCTTGGCTGTTTCTAATCTCTCTTATAATTAGTTGTTAGTTCCTACAGCCTCTTGGGTCTCCTCTCTGGCCATGCTGACCTCATACCTACATCTAGTCATGCCAAGGTACTACCAGCTCCCCAAAGGTGCCCATTCTCGTCCTCTTGCGCACGTTTTCCACAAGCAGAAACTCCCCTCTGCTTAGGCAGCACCTCCTTCTTCTCCTGGTCTTATTGTAACCATCTCTGCTCATAAAGCCTTTCCCCGCTGGGTTAGGTCCGGTCCTCTCCTATGAACTCTCACAGAAGGAAGCCTGTGCTCTCCTTCTGAGCTGGGTTCACTTGTCTTTCCCCCTCTTCCAGATGATGAAGAGCTACTTGACACCAGGGGCCAGTGTCTAGCGTAGTGCCTTCCACCTTCCACATAGCCTTCCGTGGAGTAGATGCTTGGTGAGTATTTGTGGTATGAATGAATACTTGGGTGGATGGATGGACAGACACATGGGAAGACTGAAGAGTCATGGACCCATTTGTAGCAGGGTGTGACTTAAATTTGTATTTAGAAGGTGACTTTGAGGGTGGTGAGGGGAAATAGGAAGCCAGGTAGGAGGCTATTGTGCTGACTCTGGGAAGAAAGTCTTGACCAAGCTGATCTAGGATGCTAGTGAGAGAGCTGAAGAGGAAGAGATGGATGTGAGAAATACTTAGGAGTGGCTGAGAAGCTCAGTGGTTAGGGCACCGGCCACATACACCAGGGCTGGCAGGTTCAAACCTGGCCCAGGCCTGCTAAAAACAACAACGACAACTACAACAAAAAAATAGCTGGGTGTTGTGGCGGGTGCCTGTAGTCCCAGCTACTTGGTAGGCTGAAGTAAAAGAATTGCTTAAGCCCAAGAGTTTGAAGTTGCTGTGAGCTGTGACACCACACACTCTACTGAGGGTGACATAGTGAGACTCTGTCTAAAAAAAAAAATACTTAGGAGTTATAGATCTTGGTAAGTCAACAAGTGCTGTGGATGAGGCTGAGGGAGGAAGCTGAAGGCCAGCTACCAGGCATGAGCCATTGGGCAGGGCCAATGCCTCCTCCAAGAACAATTAATGAAGAAAATGATGGCCCCAGTAGGGGCCTCATTGAGAGGCGAGATAAAGGTGGTTAAGTCAACTTGCAGGCTGGGAGAAGTCTGGGGAGTCATCAGAGTGTAAATGGGGTTGAAACCACGGAGGAGTCTCCATCCCACAGGGAGTACAGGTAGAGTAAAAACAGCGAACCACCTTTTACTGTGCGTGGGAGAGATACCCACACATGCATTGAACCTTGCCTCGTGTGGTGGTAACTTGTGCATGTGGCATGCCTATCTTATGTGGCTGGGGGTCTTCTGAGGGTGGGAGCCATTTCTTGTTTATCTCTGAGTCCCCCATGTCTCACCTGTTACTGTGAACCTTGTCCCCAGATACCTGTCCAGGGAAAGCTGCAGGTACTGGATTGTTGGGCAAGCTGATTTATCTCACTGATCTATTGCCTTGTCTCTAAAATGGGGGCAATAACAGGGCTATTTTGAAGATTGGACAGGAAGACAGAAGTGAAAAGCTCTGTAAACTGTAAAATATTTTATAAATAAAAGCTGTCAGTATTTGGATAGGTTCAGCCACCGTTTCTTGAGAGCCTGAATCAGTCTGGAGCTCACCCAAGGGTTGTTTATGTCCTAGTTCTGCCCATGAGGCTCTGCTGGGTCTTAAGTTCCCCTTCTGGCTGCCTCTGCTCCTGTGCCTTGGGGACTTGGGTAGGATGCATGCCCAGGAACGGAACCCTAGATCTTCTAGACTCTCCTAGCACCTTGCTACTCAGAGTGTGGCCCATGGGCCAGCGACACACCTATGGTCTGGGAGCTTTGTGAAATGTAAATTCTAGAGCCCTACCTCAGATCCGATGAGTCTGAAACTCCGAAGGTGGTAGGTGGGTTTAGCAATTAGTCTCTGATGCACCTGGGTTCAAGAACCACTGCTCTAGAATACCAAAACCCTTTTTTTGTTCCACAATGGATATAGGCAATGTTTAATCTAAATGTTTGTTCTTTGCTCTGCCAGCTCAAATATTTCTGACTCAGGTTGCCACAGAATTGGGTTATTGCTGGCCTCAGAAAGAGGAAGCTCCAAACGGTCACTCCTCCCCACTCCACATATGCACACCCACCACTGGTAAACAACAGGTTGCAGGCCCGGTGACTCTCAATGCATTTCCAAGACCCAATGGGTTGTGTGTTCATGATGGATTCATTTGCCCTGCTCTAATGGGTCAGTGGGCTGGTTCTTATGATTTTATCTTCATGTGGGTAGCTTTTCTGTGGATTTCAGAAAACCAAAGTAAATTCTGAAATATGAATGGTCCTGGGTAGGTGCCCCCGGGGCCCAGCTGGGGACCCGTGCTGCTGTGGACCTCCTCGTGTATAAACTGGTGAACCATTTGGCCCCACATGTGTGGGCTTGGAATTCAGGGACAGGAGACCTGGCAAGAGGAGGGCAAGCGGGACCGAATTATGACTCACTGGGCTGTACTCAGAGTTTTGAGGTCACAGCCCTCAGTTGTTCCTGCTCCCCTCCCTCTCACCATCAAAAAATGAACAAAACTAAAAACATCCTTGTGCACTGCTGGTGGAAATGTACAATGGTGCAGCCACTATGGAAAATGGTGTGGTGGTTTCTCCAAAAATTAAAAATAGGATTGCCATGTGATCAAACAATTCCAATTCTGGGCATTTACCCCAAAGAATTGAAAGTGGGAACTTGGATGGATCTTTGCACTTCCATGTTCATAGATAGCAGCATTATTTACAATAACAAAAGGTGTAAACAACCCAAACACCAATTGACTCATGGACAAACAAAACAGAATAGAATGTAATATTCTATCTATGCATATAACAGAATATTATTCAGCACTTAAAAGGCAGGAAATTCCGATGAATGCTACCACATAGATGACTCTTGAAGACATTCTGCTTTGTGAACTAAGCCAGACACAAAAGGACAAAAACTGTATGATTCCATTTATATAAAGTAGTGAGAGTCATAGAGACAGAAAGTAAAATGGTGGCTGCTGGGGACTGGGGAGTTATTATTTAATGGACATAAAGTTTCGTTTTTGCAAGATGAAGAGTCCTGGAGATGGGTGGTGGTGATAGTACAACAGTGTAAATGTACTTATTGCCATCGAACTGTACACTTAAAAATGGTTAAAATGGTAAATTTTATAGTATGTACATTTTACCACAATAAAGACCAATTGGGAAGAACCATCATCACTGAGATTCTAGACCAGTGCCCCAGAGAGGACAGGGAAGGTGAGATTGACCAGGAGTCCATGTTTTCTGAGAACTGAGAGATTGGGAGGTGAGTCACAGGTGGGGACTGCAGGTGGCAGGAATGTGCGGTGCCAGCAAGGAGACCTGGTTTCTAATACGGAGGCTTGCCTCCTTAGGCTGGCTTAGAGCAAGTCATCTCCCCTTTTGAACCTCAACGTCCTCACCTGGAAAAACGGGAAGTGCCATTCACCTATTCATTCAAGAAGTATTCATTGAATGCCTATTGTGTGCCAGGCACCGTGCAAGCTTCCAGGGAGACAGCAGCAAACAGGTGGTGAAGGCCTGTGCCCCAGTGGAATTTACATTGTAGTAGAGGAGACAGACCATCAATGAGCAGGCAAAGAAACAAATGAGAAAAATATCAGATACTAATTGGAGCTCTGAAGAGCAATAATATAAGATGATGTAGTAGTGACCAGGGAAGGGGCTGCTTTGTGCGGGGATGGGCAGGGAAGGCCTTTCTAGGAGGTGCCATTTAAGCTGAGATCTGATGCTGTGTTGGGGTGGGGTAGAGTGAAGGGCAGGGAGAAGAACTTTAATAAGAGGTGAAAGCTGATGCAAAGGCCTAAGGCAGGACGGAGGTCAGGTGACTGAGGCAGGGAAAGCTGGCCAGGGTGGCTGGCATGTTGTGGTGGAAGGCAGGGCAGGGGCAGCTGGAGCCAGATCGTGTTCGGCATTGTAGGCCTGGTGAGGAGTTTGGATTTTTATTCTACGTGTGATAAGAAGTTGTCTCAGACGGTTTAAGGCAAGGATGAAGAGAGCCTGGTTTGCATTTTACAATGATTGATGTGGCTGCCACGTGATGATGGCCAGGGTAGGGACGGGTAGGAGACAGAGCTGAGGAGGAGAAGAGAGCGGGGGAAGGGGGGGCGGGGCTGGAGAACTTGAGGAAGCTTGGTGTGGGCATGTCACTGGTAGGAGGGAGCTATGGAGGGGGTACAGGAAGTTGGTGTCTGGGTAAGAGGGGAGTAGCTTTGGCCCAGTCCCATCTCCTGCCCATTTCAGAGACACTTATGAAAGCTATGGTCCCTTTCCCCAGGACAAATGCACAGATGTATATATTTACAATATTGAGTGTGTGATTTCAGAGAAACTCCTCAAATTTCTCCTCCATGAACCCCCGGACCGGGACTGCTGGGTGGCATGTCTTCAAGCCCCTGCCCAACACGCTGTGCCAGCTTCTCTGGCTCTGGTAGCCAATGGGCAAGGCAGAGGCAGGAGGAAGGGGCCATGGCCAGCAACCTGATGAAATGTTGTCACAGACTCTGAAGGGGTTTCCCTTCCAAGTCCCAGAGTCCCAACTTGAGTCTGGTCAAGAGAGAACACAGGGCAGGGTTGATCTGAGGATCCTGAGAAATGGCTTCATTCAGATCACACATGCTCAGAATTTGCAACTACATAGACTGTGCATTTTCAACAGGGGTGAATATCTGTTCTGCCTGGGGTGGGGTGAAAAAATTTTAGACACTACAGTGATTTGTAGCCCTTCAAAAGACTAGGATACAAAAGCAATAGATCTGAGATATTAACATTTCATCGGAGTGGGGAAGGAGTGGTTAGGGGGAAAACTGTGTTAAAAGGCTCCTTAATGTTAAGGTGACCAGATTTTAACATTGGTAAAGTGGGACACCATTGACAGGGGCGGGGTCTGGGGGGGCCTGACAATAATGCAGACTTTGATAAGCAGTTCTTGATAATCAGTTCTCAACAATTATTTGTTATTATTAAAGTTTAACATTATAAAATTAACAAAAATAATATAAAATACATATCCTGGTGAAATAGTCATATAGCAGCCAAAAACCGTATATTCCCTTTCTGTTCTCCCGTGTTCCCTAGCTTGTCATGCATTCTTTCAAAAAATTGGGACTTTTTAAAAACACCGCAGACATGGGACAAATTGTTAAAAATCAGGACTGTCCCGCCAAAAGCTGGATGTCTGGTCACCTTACTCTAGAGGGGTGGGGGCTACTTGTTTGTTTCAGACAGTTTGGCTCCTTCTGAGCTAATTGTCCTTGCCTAGAAGCAAGGGAGGGAGCTTGCTCCAAGATTTCACTGACCTTGCCCAGGAGGAGAGTAGGGAGTTTACATTAGCCTTTTCATTTCCAAATGAAGTTACATTAACCTCTTCATTCCCAAATGGAGTTATAGTAACCTTTTCAGCAGCTGAAAACCATATATTCCTTTCCCATTCTCCCGCTGTTCCCTAGCTTGTCATGCATTCTTTCCAAAAATTGGGACTTTTTTTAAAACACTGAGGGACACCGGACAAATTGTTACAAATCGGGATTGTCCCGCCCAAAGTGGGACGTCTGGTCACCTTACTTAATGTAGTAATAATGAAAAAAGGGTTGAAAAATACTGATTGCAATACAGTGAGGTTTTTCATCTGAGAGAGAAGTGTTAAATCAACAGAGCAGCCCAGGCTTTTCATTTTGATATATTAATTGATAAGATAGTCCTCAATCTACAATGAAGCATTTTATTCTGTCTTGCATCACTTGTTTGTATATCTGACATCTTCTCTGTTAAATTCTCAACAGTAGGAACTTGTCGCTAATTCAAATGGATTACTGTTTTTTACTCCCCCTCCATGCATTTTCACATCCATCTGTCCATGTGCCCCAGATACTGACCTCCCAGGGCAGGTACGTTTTTATTTCCATATTACGGGGGAGGAAACGGAGGCTCAGACAAGGTAAGTGACTCACACAGCCTGCACATCACTCAGAGCCTGTGACAGAGCCTTTTACAAGCTCCAGGAAGGAGTGGAGAGGTCAGGCTTGTGTATGGGCGCCCGGGAACCCAGGGAGTGCCCTGTCAGCTGGGCTTCGCTTCCTGCCAGAGCACAGAAGGATGTGGACGATGCTGCCTGGAAGGGGCCCCCAGGAGCGGCTGTGGCTTCAGTGTTAACAGACGAATTCATCCATTCAAGTAGAGCGAATGCCGATGAAGCCCACTGCTGTAGACCAGGGTGGCTGGTGCCTTCGCTGTCCTGTGTGGAACTGATCTTTGCCTCGAGCCTTCCCTGGAGCACTGGGCTCAGGATGGGCTTATTGCTCCTATGAACCCCAGGCCTTACTTACAGCACTGAGGGACCCAGAAAATATATGAGGGACAGAGGATGAATAAGGGGAGCCAGGAAGGGAGATGAGGAGATGTAAATCACATTTGAGGATGCCTGACCCACTCAGAGATTCTAGCTGAGTTGGAATTATTGGGCCACTATGTCTTCTTCTAAATTAACACATTGCGGACTGGTCACAAGCTACCCAGTAACGTGGATAGTTTCTGCATAAAATTGCCAGTCGACAAGGTGTTAACATTGTTCCTGACTCATTTCTCCCAGTTGTCCCAAATTCAGCCTATTTTATATTTTCTTCCTTATCTCTCAGCTGCTTATAATATAGAATCACTAGCATTTTAACATATATTGACCGGCAAGTTTACACAGAAACTATCCACATTACCGGGTAACTTGTAACCAGTCAGCAATGTGTTAAGTGAGTAAAGGATTTAGAACAGTGCCTGGCACACTGTAGGTGCTATGTAGATGTTGGCTACTATTGTTCTAAGGCTTTCCTGCCTTTGGCTTTCAGGGGCTTACTCCCCACCAGTGATGCCCAGCCCTTGGTAGGGCCCGAACCACCTCCTACAGACAGGATGGCAGTGGAGAGAGACTGGCTTGGGAGCCCATGAGGCCTGAGGCCCCTGCAGGCCCAAAGATGGGGAACACCACTGCAGACAACAACTCACTGAACTGCACCATTGACCACACCATCCACCAGACGCTGGCCCCAGTGGTCTACGTCACAGTGCTGGTGGTGGGCTTTCCAGCCAACTGCCTGTCCCTCTACTTTGGCTACCTGCAGATCAAGGCCCGCAACGAGCTGGGCGTGTACCTGTGCAACCTGACGGTGGCCGACCTCTTCTACATCTGCTCACTGCCCTTCTGGCTGCAATATGTGCTGCAGCATGACAACTGGTCGCATGGGGACCTGTCCTGCCAGGTGTGCGGCATCCTCCTCTACGAGAACATCTACATCAGCGTGGGCTTCCTCTGCTGCATCTCCATCGACCGCTACCTGGCCGTGGCCCACCCCTTCCGCTTCCACCAGTTCCGGACCCTGAAGGCGGCCGTGGGCATCAGCACGGTCATCTGGGCTAAGGAGCTGCTGGCCAGCATCTACTTCCTCAAGCACAAGGAGGTCATCAAGGACGGGGACCAGCACCGTGTCTGCTTCGAGCACTACCCCATCCAGCCGTGGGAGCGCAGCATCAACTACTACCGCTTCCTGGTGGGCTTCCTCTTCCCCATCTGCCTGCTGCTGGCCTCCTACCAGGGCATCCTGCGGGCCGTGCGTCGGAGCCATGGCACCCAGAAGAGCCGCAAGGACCAGATCCACCGGCTGGTGCTCAGCACCGTGGTCATCTTCCTGGCCTGCTTCCTGCCCTACCACATGCTGCTGCTGGTGCGCAGCCTCTGGGAGTCCAGCTGCGACTTCGCCAAGAGCATCTTCAATGCCTACCACTTCTCCCTGCTGCTCACTAGCTTCAACTGCGTGGCCGACCCCGTGCTGTACTGCTTCGTCAGCGAGACCACCCACAGGGACCTGGCGCGCCTCCGTGGGGCCTGCCTGGCCTTCCTCACCTGCTCTAGGACCGGCCGGGCCCGGGAAGCCTATCCACTGGGCGCACCTGAGGCCTCGGGCAAGAGTGGGGCCCAGGGCGATGAGCCCGAGCTGTTAACTAAGCTCCACACGGCCTTCCAGCCCCCTAGCTCACCTGCAGGAGGAGTGTCCCTCACAGGTGGCTCAGCCTAGCCTGGGTCCCTCACTGCGGGGCCAGGGGAGGACTGAGCCTGCAGGTGCTGGCCTAGAACCCTGAGCTTGCTGGTCGGCTGCGCTGCTTCATCCCCGCAGGTGCCTCTTTATGTGGGAGGGAATGGTGGGCCCAGGCCACAGGGAGGCCTCCCCAGCTCCTGGAAACCTACTATTCTTCTGGCTGAGCTAGTGGGTCTGTGGAGGGGAGATAAACCCCTGGGCTCAGGGTATGCTCTGCTGTGGGCTGGGGTGTCCCCAGGCTGGGGCTCCTAAGAGGAGGAAGACTGAGCCGTGGCTTCCAGGAGGTTTTCAAGGGCAGCAAGGGAGGTGGCTGTGAAGTGGGAGGGCATGGAGTAGGGGATTGGGAGGTGAGGTGGGCATAGGGGTTCCCCCCCAGTGCCATCGTCGTCACAGATACCACCTGTCCAAGTGCACCCCTGTTACCTGATGATGTGCCACAAGAAGCTGTGCTGTCACCATTAACACTGGAATCCACCCAACACAGGGTAGGAAGGGAAGGTTGGATGGGGAGAAGGGAGGTGAGGCATTTGGGGCTCTGGGAGTGGGGACAAGGCCAGTGAGGGTGTGACAGGTGGAGGAGGACTCTAGCTCCACCCACCTCACAGTTTCGCAGAGGGGTTGAGCAGATCCTCTGCCTGAAGACTGATGGAAAACAAACCCCAGGGCTCCCCAGGGTTTGCCGGACTGCCTGGGGAGATGTCTGTGATCCTTTGGAAAGTCAAGTGTCAGGACGTGGGCCTGAAGCCAGTGTATCTATAAGCAAGTGCCCTACACAGATTCCTCCTAATCAGATTTCTGTTTCCATCTGCTCGGAAGGGCCAGACCTGGAAGCCTGAGGGGGTGGGAGGAGGGGAGAGGGTGTGTGTTCATGGCTAAAATGCCACAGTCTCCATGACAGCTGTGTGCCAAGACCCTGAGGCTAGGGCCCTGTGACCAGCAGTACCCCATCCCCTCTGCACTGTTCTCCTGCCACATGCATTATGGAGTGTCTAGCTGCCTCAGGGAGGAACACAATATATTCCCTGAGGTCTCAGATACAACACAACAAACACAACAGCAACGCACTCTCTGGTAGCTCTCAGCCAAAGGCATGGGGTTAAGTCCTGCTCTGGTTTAAATAGCTCCTGTGACAGGGAGAACAGAGGTGATCTTTGATTTCCATCTGTGCTCTGCTTCCAGATGTCCCACCTCACCTACCTAGAGAGTGATGTGTGGTGCGTGGACCACCTTTTGTTTTGTCGCTGGGTAAAGGCTTATCTCTCCTGCAATTTTGTGCCTGACCACATTGAAGTATCCTTCCCACTCCCTAACACACACACGTTTCCCCTGTTCAGTTTTGCAGCAAAGCTTCTTGCCCCTAGCACCATTCCCTGAGAAGGTCTCTGGAGAATGGCAGGGAGGGGCTATGGGGTCCTTCATCTTCTTCCTATTGTTCAAACACAAGGGACACAGCAACATGTCAGAGGCATGACCCCTGTTCTGATGTCTGATTCTGATGCCCATCTGGTTCTGATGACAAGAACCAGTGGAGCTGCCCACCAACCTCTACAGACGCGCCAGCCCTGCAGACTTTCTGGTCAGAGGGCTGGGGCTGCTCTCAGCTCCCAGGGCATGCCCTTGAAGGCCTGAGATTCAAGTTCCTCAGCACCAAGAGGCTAAGTGGGCTTAACCCTGGGGAGGAACCATAGGCCAGGAGTAGAAATTGGCACCAGGGGAACATTTCTGGAATCTTCCAAATGGGACCAGGCAGAACCACTTCCTCAATTTCCCTTCCCTTGTCCTTAATCTACAAGAGGTTGATTTACCCTGTGTCTCTTAACCCTTCCATCAGGGGTGCCCAGATGCAGGTAGCTCAAACAGGATGTGCCTAACGGAGGCATGGTTACTGTGGTCCCATGGCTATACTTGACTTTGGGCAGCCCCTGCCCAGATACTTATGGAGGGCCTCCAAGACATGGGGAGGTCCTCTTCCCCTTCCTGGAGGAAGAAATGACCAGATTTGAAGGTGGCAGAAGTAGCCACACAATTCCAGCCCAGGATCTCACTGGGTCAATGGGATTGGTTAAACCCTCTATGCCTCCTCATTCCACTGTATTTCCCTCTATTTTGACCTTAAACACTGGTGTTTCCATTGGCAGGGACTGGAATGAGCTGAGGGCAGTAACATTTACTACCAAGAATTGTATTTTTGTATTGTCTTCTCTTTTATGTCAAGTCTGCGTGTGTTGACTGTGCAATGGATTTATGTAGCAAACTTCAGTCTGCAAATAAAGCAAAGTAACCAGCCATAGAAGGAGTATTCTGTAGTCCTTATGGGGGAGGAGTGTCTCCAAAACCAGGGGGGAATCTAGAGGGCCCTTGAAATACCCAAAGGAGTGAGGAAGGTCCAGCGATTGACCTTCTCAGCGAAAATGCAAGCAGAGCAATTGGGGGATTTGCACTTGATCAACAGTGGCCCAGAAGGATGGAGCCTGCCAGAGAAGGTAGGTCTTCTCGCTTTCCTATTGAGATTCATGGAGAATCACTCAGATCGTCAGCATGGTGTTGTTGAAAGTCTACTCTGGGCCTTCACTGGCCTCCTCCCTTTTGAGGGCAGAGCCCAGTTTCATGGTTCGGAGACTTATCACTTCCTTTGTCCTTGGCCACATGACCCCTTTTACCTGTTGGGTACCTGCTGTCACAGCAATGGAGGGCTCAGCCAGACCATTCTCTTCTAACTAGACTAGAAGATTCCCAAAGCAGACAGGCTTGTTGTATTTGTCTCCGTGGGGCTGTCCTTAGTGGCTGAGTTTTGTTTAGAGAGGCCTGCATTTGTTGACCAGGCACTTTAGGCTGGAGCATCTTCTCAACAGTGGTAGATGCCATGTTTATCACTAAGGATTAATTCGTTATATTAAAGTGTAAATTTGATGGTGGTCACTTAATCCCTCTCTAGTTCAGACTCCTGGAGTGCTGGAGTGTTCCAGAACAGTAGATCCTTTGTCCAAACATACTAAGTAAAGACACTATTGGGGATTCTCCAGAGAGAATGAGTGGAAGAAAAAGTCCACCTGGTTTGGACTGAAGGTGACAGAAGCTGTTAGGATTTTTCTTTTTCACCAGTGTTGCTTATAAGATGAGGGCTCATCTTCCTGTTTACACAGAGTGGTCTGTGGTTTAGCCAGACAAGAGTAGGAGAAAATTTCAACATGCAATATGTTCCTATCTGCTGTTTTCTTCTGGCTAGTACAACCAGAAGAGAGCCACACTCTCACCTGATGGCTCAATGCTTTTCTAAAAAACCTGCTTCTTGCAGCTGTTGATCGTACAGCCTCCATTCCTGGAATTCATCTGGCAAGACAGTGGTCTTTGATGGGGCTATGATTTGATTCCAAAACTTAAGTTGAAATTTAATTGCCATTGTAACTATTTTGAGAGGTGGGACTTTTAAGAGGTGATTAGGTCAAGAGGGCTTGGCCTTCATGAATGAATTAATGCCATTAACATGGAAGTGTTTCTGTTATTGTGAGAGTTCAGCCCCCTTATTTCTGTCTTGCAAGCTTGCTTTCCTTTCTGCTTTCTGCCATGGGATGACCCTTACTAGATGCTGGTGCCATGTTCTTGGACTTCCCAGTCTCCAGAACTGTAAGTCAAATAAACTTCTCTTCTTTATAAATTACCCAGTCTGTGGTATTCTCTAATATTTCTGGAACAGAAAATGGACCAAGACAAATGGCATTCATCTCACATGCTGTCACAGTGGTACCAACAGCTCTGGGGGAAATGATGAGATTTTTAATCCCATTTGCTTTAATTCAACAACTATCAGAAGAACATCACTAGGTTAGACATTAGCTATCAGTGCTTGGATGTACCAGCGAGGTCATGCTATCCAGTCCCTCTCCATGAAGCATTCCCTCTATATCCCTCAAAAACAATAGTCCAGTCTGTCTACAAACACCACCAATGCCAGCTAACTCGCTACTCAAGACAAGTCATTTCAGAGTTGGGCAGAAAATCTTAGCTCCCACTTAGCCAAAGTAGAACCACTTTACCCATGGTTCATGTGGCCCTTGAGGTACTGGTATTTGAAGGTAACTCTCAGATCCGACATCTAGGGGTGTTCTTTTTTCATCAGCACAAGGAAGGGGAGCAACACAAAGAGAATCTCACCAGGATTTTGTTGCTAAGTCTGGAAGTAGTTGATATCCCTGCTATTCATACACCACTGACCAGATTCTAATTGCATGGCCCCAAGATAGCTGCAAGGGAGGCTTGGAAATGTAGTTTTCCTATGTATGCAGGAAGAGGAGGCAGAATTGGTGAGCACCTGGCCAGTCTCTGATAGTCTTCAAGCCACCTCCACTAACCAGGTTTTAAGATCTTACCTTTCTGTTCCTTCATATGAATAAAATCTACTTCAAATGTGATGTCCAGATCTGAAGTGAGATTAAGTTGGTTCAAGGAAAAGGGACCATTTTGCTTTTTTTCTTCTGGCAAGCACATCACATTGCTGACATATTATTGAGTTTATGTGATTGGCTGGTAAGCCACATCCTTTCCACCCCACCTAGACAGCAGTGGGTTGTTTTTTTTCATCTGAGAGTTAGACTTCACTGTGGAGCCAGTAGAAGCCACATGTGATGGGCAGAATGCAGTGGGCTAGATGAAGTTGGAGCTGGTGGTTTGCAGGGCTCATGCAATGAGAAGCAAGCAGTGGCCTCAGAGGAATGTCTTTCCCAACTCAGCAGCATTTGACTAGAGGACCTCCTGGAGCGAAGGACCCATGTTTCCCTTAGCTGGCTCACTTGCCTCTGAGTAACCCCTCTAGCAGAGTCTGTGTGGCCTCTGCTGCCTCAATGTGTCAAGGTCTCCAGCCTGCCCTGGATTATTCATAGAGCATCCTGTGTCCTGCTTACCAGGATATCCTCCCCACAGTGTTCCTGAAAATGCCCATGGATGTGCCAGTGTCCTGAAGATCCATTCTAGTCAACACCAGGCCATCCCTGAGCCACCCCACCATTCTCTGTAGCTCACCTCTTCTGCCCCTATGACCAGCCTCTCCAGGCTGCACCTATGGCCACTGTACCAACCTAGACATAGACATGGATCTTTCCCCAAAGCAGTCAAGGTTAGAACAAAAGAGCAAAGTGGAATAAAATTTTATACTAAAGGTGTCCGTTGGAATCGTACTGTCAAATGGACAAGCATCAAAACTGGTCCTGCCCTTGCACCTTGGCCCCTGTTGCAGGGCCACAGGCCTGCCTCTCCCTACAGGGGCCTTTGGATGCTCCACTGAGTCTAGGATCCCTATTCTTAACCTTCTCTGGGCTCAGTCTAGTTGAAAGCCTCCTTCCCAAACAACTTAATCATCTCTCCATAGATTTTTTGCTCACGGTGAAGATAATCTATTACATGATTATGCCTCTGACTTCTCCATGCCAGAATAAAATCCTGCTGTAACTCTTGTAAAACCAAAGGCCCATTAGTGTCTTCCCCCAAAATATGAGTCAGAAAAATGTTAGCAGCTTTGCCACAGCGAGGTTTTTCTCTCTTCAGAGGCCCCAACTACATGGAACTCTGCAGTCACAAATCAGGGACAAAAATTGTCATTGTAAGAGACCTAGCCATCAAGGCTTAGAGCCGAGGTGGCTTCCCTGAGCTGTGAGAAGCTGCAGATGGAGGACTGAGTTCTATGACCACAGGAGCATCAGCCCTGCCAGCACACCTCACACCCACACAAGCACAACTCCTGCAGGTGGGAACTCCCCTCAGGATGAGAGGGGAGATCTGGACAGAGACCCCACCCCAGCTGCTTTGTGTAGGAAGAACTGGAAGTTAGCCCTGGACCATATTATAAACTTATACTTCATTGCTGACTGTACAAGATAAGAGTTTATTTCCACGCCATGTGTTCCATTCTTCACAGCTGTTGCCCCTTACAGAACCAGACTAGACATGTTTAAGGAAATGAAGTAAAACCAAGCAGGCCCAATAAACACTTGGGGCCCCAGCTGGGAAGACGGACTGTCCCCGCCTGGGTGAGTCACTCAGCAGTGTACCAGCACAAGACATTGTACTGGGACAATAGGCAGTGACTCAGTTTCTAATTTTGTTGGGCAATGCACAGAGGAAACTTGTAAAGAAAACAGCAAGCTGGCTAGAGTCACTCAAGAGGGCTCTGTGACCCACGCATGGTGTGGCTGCCCTGCCGAAGTGTCCAGCTCCAGGGTGGGGTAGCGGAGGGGGAGAAGGAGGAAGAAGCATCGGGGTGAAGGGAGGCGAGAGGCAGGTATGGTGACCAATGCAAGGTTCTGCAGGCGATCTCTTGCCTTAGTAAAGAAAATGCTGCTTGAAAAAGAAAGAATTTAAAAGGTGTCAGTATTTGGGTGGTAGTAGTGAGTAAACTTTTCCCAAGCTTCATAAATATCTACTCCATGTTTGTTCATTTTACCAGTTCTTTTTTTTTTTTTTTTTTGAGACAGAGCCTCAAGCTATCCCCCTGGGTAGAGTGCTGTGGCATTACAGCTCACAGCAACCTCTAACTCCTGGGCTCAAGCGAGTCACCTGCCTCAGCCTCCCAAGTAGCTGGGACTACAGGCGTCTGCCACAACGCCCAGCTATTTTTTTGTTGCAGCCGTCATTGTTGTTTGGTGGGCCCGGGCTGGATTCGAACCTGCCACCTTAGGTGTATGTGGCTGGTGCCTTAGCCACTTGAGCCACAGGCACCACATTTTACCAGTTCTTAATTACAATAGTCCCCCTGTATCCACAGGAGTATGTTCCAAGACCCCCAAAGGATGCCTGAACTGTTGAATGGTACCAAACTTGTTTGCCATCAATGGGGATGTATTTCTATTTATGTCTTTCACCCACAAACATGATGGCTTTTCCATCTTTACTAAGCACTTATCACATACCGTGGCCACACCCTTTGCAGTTTGAGGGTAACGGCAAAACAGCATGATTTTCTTTCCTCCTTCATAACTTCACAGAAGACTCATTCTTACCATAGACCTTAGCAACCTTGGCATAGGATTTTTTTTTTTTTGTCTTTCCTTAAGTCAAAAACTTTCACCTTTTCACTTAAAGGAAGCACTTTACATTTTGTCTTTAGCATGTCAGAATTGCCAGCATCACTACTTTTGCACTGTGGGGCCGCTATCAAATCAAGTAAGAGTTAATTGAACACAAGCAGTGTGATACCAAGACAACCGATCTCATCATGGGGATGCTGAGTGACTAATGGGTGGGTAGCATGGACAGCCTAGGTACCCTTGACAAAGGGGTGATTCACGTCCCAGACAGGACCAAGCAGGACAGTGCAAGATTTCATCATGATACTCAGAACAGCATGCAGTTTAAAACTTAGGAGTTGTTTATTTCTGTATTTTTCCATTTAATATATTCAGACTGTGGTTGACCATAGGTAACCGAAACTGCAGATAAGGAGGGAGGGGAAACTGCTGTAGGCGGGGGGCCTTGGTAACATTGACTCCTGTGCTCTGCCTGGCAGTCAAATGCTCATGGGTGTCCCATGAGTGATTGTCAAGAGATTCTCAGAGCACACCACATGGGTGGCCTGAAGAAGCCAGGTTGAAGGCAGAATGAAATCAAGGCCTCTAGCACCTAAAGGACAGAAGCAAAAAAGCCCCAGAGAAATGTCCTTGGTCCACGTCATGTGCTAACCCTCCTAGGAAGAGGCACACCGTTTCCCAGGCCACCCGGGGGGAGTTCATTGCTCATCTAAGGCCAGTGTTCACTTGTAAGACTGTTCGTGGGGAGAAGCTGGGAGCCCGCAGGGAACACCTCCCTAAATGCAGGCTTAGACACACAACATGGACAGTCACCCTCACACTGCAGTGACATCCACCAGCCTCTGGATCATCTCAGCGTGGGTGCTGTGGAAGGGCAGCCCGTCCACCTCCATGCCCACGACGCCCGAGACGCCACTCCGCACTTTGTGATGCACCAGGATGCTCAACATTTTTTCTTCCTGGAAAAAAAAAATGGGGTAGAAGTAGTGGAGGAGGTGGAAAAAGAAAGAAATATATCCATTTATAAATGGAGAAGGAGCCTTTGCCTTGATACGCTTGCTTTTTAAAAGACAAAATTTTGGTTAAATATATCAATGCCACTGAAGACTCAATAAATAACGCCTCATCGGCCCCCAAACCCACTCCCCAGAAGCAACCTCCTGAACAGTTTGGGCTGATCCTTCTGGTAGTTACCTTAATGTAACTGAATAATACACTTTTGTGGGAACCTGTATTTTCTCTCTCTCTTGTTTTTATTTTTGGTGAATTTTTTTTTCAGATTAATATGAGGGCACATGCAATTAGGCTACATTGTCTGTGTTTTGTGGATAAAGTCCAAGTTGCAGTTGAGCCCTTCACCCAGGAGGTGTGCCACACATGCCTACATTGTACCTGACAAGTGAGCTTACTACACCACCCCACTTCTTGAATTTAAATTTGTTTTTCTCTCATGTGGGCATGTAGTTTGTTATTCATCTACTAGTTTCATACTAATGTTGAGTACTTTGGATACTTGCTTTTCCATTGTTGTGATAATTTACTTAGGAGACTGTTCTCCAAATCCTTCCAGGTAAATACAAAAGATGTGAAGTCTCCCATCTTTTTTATGGCTGCATAGTATTCCATGGTTTCTATTACCACAGTTTATCCATTCCTGGGTTGATGGACACTTGGGTTGTTTCCACATCTTGGTGATTATGAATTGAGCTGTGATAAACATTCTAGTACAAATGCCCTTATGGTAAAAAAAATTTTTTTTCTTCTGGGTAATGGGATTATGGGATCAAATGGAAGGTTTATTTTTAGCTCTTTGAGGATTCTCCATACTTCTTTCCAAAGACGCTGTATGAGTTTGCAATCCCACCAACAGTGTATAAGTGTTCCTTTCTCTCTGCCAGCATCTGCAGCTTTGGAATTTTTGTGATATGGGCTATTCTCACTGGGGTTAGGTCATATCTCAAGGTAGTTTTGATTTTCATTTCCCTGATGATTAGCAATTTTCAGCATTTTTTCATGTGTTTTTTGGCCATTTGTCTGTCTTCTTGGGAGAAGGTTCTGTTCGTATCTCTTGCTCAGTGATAAATGGGGTTCTTTTTTCTTTTCCTGTTGATTAGTTTTTCTCTGTAGATTCTAATTATTAGGCCTTTGTCAGATTCTTAACATGTGAGTATCTTCTTCCATTCTGAAGGCTGTATGTTTGCTTTAGTTGTGGTACCCTTAGCTATGCAAAAGCTTTTTAGCTTAAACATTTATTGATTTTTGGTACTGCTGCAATTGCCAGTGGGGTCTTCTCTATAAAATCTTTTCCTAGGCTGATAGATCAGAGTTTTTCCTATACTTTCTTCTAGAGTTTTTATTGTTCTGTGTCTTAGATTTAAATCTTTTATCCAGGGTAAGTCAATTTTTGTAAGTGGTGAGAGATGCAGGTCCAGTTTCAGTCTTTTACATGTGGTTAACCAGTTCTCCCAGCACCATTTAGTGAATAAGGATTCTTTTCCCCAGTGTGTGCTTTTATTTGGTTTATAGATCAGTTGGCAATATGCAGCTAATTTCATCCCCAGGTTCTCATTTTGTTCCATAAATCTATGTCTTTATTTTTGTGCCACTACCATGCTTTTTTTTTTTTTTTCCGAGACAGTCTCACTTTATCGCCCTTGGTAGAGTGCCATGGTGTCACACAGCTCACAGCAACCTCCAACTCCTGGGCTTAGGCGATTCTCTTGTCTCAGCCTCCTGCATAGCTGGGATTACAGGCTCCCACCACAATACTCGGCTATTTTTTTGTTGCAGTTTGGCCTGGTCCAGGTTTGAACTCACCACCCTCGGTATATGGGGCTGGTGCCCTACCCACTGAGCCACAGGCCCTTTGCTCACTATAGACTTATAGTATAACCTAAAGTGTGATAATGTGATTCCTCCAGATTTGCTTTTATCTCTTAGAATTATGTTGGCTATTTGGAGATTTTTCTGGTTCCATATGAAATGAAGAACTTTTTTTTTTTTTCAGTTTAAAGGGTTTTGATTTTGTTTCCTTTTTATTAACTAAAGTTATTTCAGGTTAATATGAGGGTACAAGTAACCATGTCAAAATATTTCACTTTGTTAGGTAGAATTCGTCTTGTGGTTCTGACCCACACAAAAAAGGTGTGCCAACCCTTCCACCTCCAAAATAACTATCTTTTCAAGTTCTTCAAAGTATGCTTGGCTCAGCACCTGTAGCACAGTGGTTATGGCACCAGCCACATACATGGAGGCTGGCAGGTTTGAATCTGGACCTGGGCCAGCTAAAAACAACAATGACAACTGCAACAAAAAATAGCCAGGCTTATGGTGGGTGCCTGTAGTCCCGGCTACTGGGAGGCTGAGGCAAGAGAATCACTTAAGCCCAAGAGTTGGAGGTTTTTGTAAGCTGTGACACTACAGTACTCTACCGAGGATGACATAAGACTCTGTCTCAAAAAAAAAAAAAACCCAAACTAAGTATGCTTTAATGGTGATTGTATTAAACTGTAGATTGCTTTGGGTATTATGGAAATATATATATATATATGTATATATTTTGGAGACAGAGTCTCACTATGTTGCCTGTGGTAGAGTGCCATGGCATCACAGCTTACAGCAACCTCCAACTCTTAGGCTTAAGCAACTCTCCTGCCTCAACCTCCAAGTAGCTGGGACTACAGATGCCCACCACAATGGCCGGCTACTTTTTTGTTGCAGTTGTCACTGTTGTTTAGCAGGTCCAGGGTGGCCAGCACCATAACCACTTAGCTGCAAGTGCTGAGCCAGTAGTATGCTAATTTTAACTATGTTCATTTTCTCAGTCATGAACATGGTATATTCTTCCATTTCTTAACATCTTCTGCTATTTCTTTCTTTCTTTCTTTTTTGAGACAGAGCCTCAAGTTGTCGCCCTGGGTAGAATGCTATGGCGTCACAGCTCACAGCAACCTCCAACTCTTGGGCTTAAGCAATTCTCCTGCCTCAGCCTCCCAAGTAGCTCGAACTACAGGTATGCGCCACAACGCCCAGCTATTTTTTGGTTGTAGTTATTGTTGTTTGGCAGGCCCGGGCTGGATTTGAACTTGCCAGTTTTGGTGTATGTGGCTGGTGCCTTAGCCACTTGAGCTACAGTGGCTCAAATCTTCTGCTATTTCTTTCCTTAGAGTTTCTTTCATAGTTCTCTGTAGAGCTCCTTCACATCCTTTGTTAGGTTAATTCCAAGATATTTCATTTTCTTAGAAGCCACAAGCTATCAAAACTTGTGAGATACTGCAAAGGCACTCCTAAGAAGGAAATGTATCACATAAATGCCCACATCCAAAAAACAGAAGAAGTGCACATCAACAACCGGGTGCAGTGGCTCCCACCTATAATCCTAGCACTCTGGATTGCCTGAGTTCACAGGTTCAAGACCAGCCTGAACAAGTACAAGACCCCATCTCTAAAAAATAGCCAGGCGTTGTGGCAGACACATGTAGTCCCAGCTACTTGGGAGGCTGAGATAAGAGAATTGTTTGTCTGAGGTTGCTGTGAGCTAGGATGTCATGACACTCTATGCAAGCGTCCTCTGACTATGGCCTGCAGGCCACATGCAGCCTGCCTAGGACATTTATCCAGCCTGCGGGGTGTTTTTGCCAGCGCTGCCTGTCCTGCTTAGCAGCTGACTTGTCCTGGGGCCCACAGTCTGGCCCTCCAACAGTCTGAGGGACAGTGAACTGGCCCCCTGTTTAAAAAGTTTGAGGACCTCTGCTCTACAGTAACAAAGTAAGACTGTCTCAGAAACAAACAACAACAAAAACCTAATGAACTGTCTCAAGGAACTGGAAAAGGAAGAGGAATACAATTCCAAATTAACAGAAGAAAAGAAACAACCAAAATTAGATCAGAATTAAATGAGATTGAGAACAAAAGAACCACTCACATTAGCAAAACAAAAAGTTGGTTCTTGGAAAAGATTGATAAAATTGATAAACCCTTGGCTAAATTAACTAGAAACAGAAAAGCAAGATGTCTAATAACTTTAATCAGAAATGAAAAAGTAGAAGTGACAACAGATACCACAGAGATAGAGAAATCATCACTGATTACTACAAAAAATTCTATGCCCAGAAATTTGAAAATTGGGGAATTTATCAATATCTGGAATCACGCCCACTCCCCAGACTTAATCCGAAAGAATTAGAACTCTTAAACAGACCAGTATCAAGCATCAACAATAAAAAAAGCTTCCAACAACAATAAAAAAGTCCTAGACTAGAATTTCATACCAGAATTCTATCAAATTCTTTAAAGAAAAGCTTGTGCCTATATTACAGAAATTATTCCAAAATATGAGAAGGAAAGAATTCCCCTCAACTCCTTCTATGAAGCAAATACCACCCAGATACCAAAACCAGGAAAGGATTCAACAATAGAAAGAAAACTACAAATCAATGTCATTAATGAATTTCAATGCAAGAATACTCAACAAAATCCTAGCAAATAGGATATAGCTACATAGTAAAAAAAAATTATACATCATGATCAAGTGGGCTTTATCCCAGGGATACAAGGCTGGTTCAACATACACAAATCATAAATGTAATTTGCCACATAAATTGAATCAAAAACAAAAACCATATGATCCCCTCAATTGATGGAGAAAAAGCATTCAGCAAAAACCAATATCATTTTCTGATAAGAACACTTAAGAAAATAGGTATAGATGGGGCATTTCTTTTTTTTTTTTTTTTTGAGACAGAGCCTCAAGCTGTCCCCCTGGGTAGAGTGCCGTGGCATTACAGCTCACAGCAACCTCCAACTCCTGGGCTCAAGCGAGTCTCCTGCCTCAGCCTCCCAAGTAGCTGGGATCACAGGCGCCCGCCACAACGCCTGGCTATTTTTTGGTTGCAGCCGTCATTGTTGTTTTGGCGGGTCCAGGCTGGGGATTCGAACCCGCCACCTTAGGTGTACGTGG